TGGGATGTGGGGAGGGGACTCCTCTAGTTAACTGCAGAATGCACCCAATCACGGGGAATAAACCTAAAAACGTAGGGAAGACGAGAGATAGCGTAACTGAGGGAGAGTGAAAAACAAACTTAAGAGAGCGGGAGGGAGGTCGTAGGTTAAACGGGAGGGAGGTATAGACAGTTATCTGGGAATAAAGATTAAGATTAGGGAGGGAAGCTAGACAGCAACTGTTATACGACTTTTTTTTTTAATCTCAAGTTAATCCCAGGCATAAGAATCAAACGCATTCACACGCAGACTGACCATAGAAACACTTGCACATAAAGTCGCAATAACTACGAGCGGCCAGCGCTGCCGTAGCAATAGCATAATCAGACATTAACACTGAGACTATCTAGGAAAGACTAGCGTCGTTTTTCTTTTTTTAATAATTACTATTGATGAAACGAGAACAATCTCGGCTTAAAAACAGATGGTTAGCGCGCTATCGCGAATTTGTGTTTTTTATCGTTAGTAAGGGAGCATCTATGAATTCAGTTTTCATCATCATCATCAGCTTTGTCGTCGTCGTTCTGTCCGATTGTCGTCACGATTCCCTGCTTGCGTCTCTTATGCCGTATCGTTTATTTTCCGACGTTTCTTCTCACTTTTTTGCGTAGTTGGCTTGTAGTTTTTTCCTGGGCTTGGTCGGCGTTCGCTGTTGAAACTCATCGTAGTTTACAGATTTCAATCACACCGTAGTTTAATCTTGTCGTGATTTCGAGAGATTCGGTTTCGTCGCGAAGGAGCTGGAACGGAAACTCCACAGTATAACGATCATGACTTGCGTTATGTGCGTGCTCGGTTGTGTACATGCGTGTGTGACTTGTGTAACGGTAGCTGTGTTGGGAGCTTTTAAGTGTGTTTTGTTAGTGTCATTGCCATGTATTTTTTTCGTAATTCGCATTTCGTATGTGTATTCTTGCGTTAATAGGTTAATTGTTTTAAGGTACCTTACACTTGACTCCTGGACCCCTATTGACCTGTAAACTGTGACCAACGATGTGTGCGCGCTTGTGAGTGTGTGTATGAATGTATTTGTACCGATAAATATTGATGCCATATTGATATTTGGTATTTAGTAATTTAATCCGCTTATCCAACAAACTACAACTATATCAAATATAGTTTTACAACAAGGTTAATTTGAAGTTGTTGTTTTTTTAAGTTTTGCTGCTATTGCTAATTTTTGGTTACTTTGATAAATAGAACTGAATTCACAACGTTTAAATTCTATTGGAGCAAAATGCGTAATTTAAATTTGGATTATCGCTTGTCATGCACTTTTTGTTTAGCTATTTTTATGATTTTTTTTTGTAAGGAATTTGCTGGTAAATTTACTGATAAAACCGTTGGATTCATCATGCGTCTTGTTTTTTCTTGTGACAATATTTGTTGGTTGGACGATTTGAAATAAGAGCGAGCTGGAAGCAAAGACAGGAAGTGACAGTTGGAAGGATGGCGAGGACGATTGCTGCATGTGGAAATCTGCACTGAGACTCTGAAAGAAAAACAATCACACCTTTCTCTCTTTACCTTGCCAGGAAAAATAAAATGATTTTTTACCAAGCTGAAGAAGTCTTTTGTGTGCTCTTGATTTTCTCTATCTCTCTACTTTTATAATTAAAAAAAATAAAAATAAAAAAGTTTTCAAGGCAAACCTAAAAATTACAACCAAAATAGGAGTGTTGTGGCTTTTAATCTGTTAGTTTTGAGCTCATCTGTATGTTGGTGTACTCCTAAACATTTTTTACTCTTTACTTCACTACATTTTTGAACGAGTATCTGTACTCTTTACTCCACTACATTTGAAATGAGTGTTGCAGTTACACATTACATTTTGCATGGACCTAGCTTTTTCTGCAGCAGTTTATTTCTGCTACAAAGACGTGATACTGCCTATTACAGGTCACTGAAAGTACTGCATCTTGT